TATATATATATATATATATATTAATATGTAAATTAGTTTATGTATACTAATTTATATATAATAAATAATGAATTATTACATAATTAATTTAATTACACATTATACATAACTCTCATTTGTAAATCTCAATTTAAATCTTTATCGTTTTTAGCACCGTGAAATGTCGAGAAGAGAGAAGTAGAGATAGAAAAACGTATCTCGAACGGGGACGCAAAACACTCGTGAAATAAGAGAAAATTTTGCAATTCCAACACGCGCAGATCATTCTAACTGGTGTGATCAGGAAGCGACGTGCAGATCAACCGGAAGTCCGCGCGCGCACACGTATACGAGCACGTGCGTTAACCGCGAACGAAACGGGTAACAGCAGTGCACCACGGCGCAATTAAGCGCAGCACAATGACGAAGTAAATGTCACGGTCATTGCGGAGAGCGGACGCGCGGCGCGATCGCAATTGAGCGCAATTTATTCGCCGCGCCCGCAACCAACCGATCGCGCGCGCGGGTGTTTCAATTTAACATTTAGGGTATTAGAAATTTTTCACGAGGGGATAACCGACGATAAGCCGACATTCTGTTGACGCAAACGGGCGTGCACGATACGAATAATCGATAGGCATATGTATGGGGAGGGGGATACTCCTGTTGACTAACGGTTCTAATACTTGACACTTCCGCTATCCGGACGTATTAAAACGATTGTGTGAAAAAAAAACGCGCTTGATAGCGACGCCGCTTGAGTGCTCGGCAAGACAGCACCGTTCCCGTCCGTTATCGCGCGTCGCAATACGAAACTTTCATTCGGACTGTCTCGCCTGTCGCGAGTGTGTTACTCAAAGATTGTCGCGGTAATTATTCCAGCTGGCTCATAAACCTCTCACGAACTTGTCTCGCAATCAGCTGACGGCGATTTTCGCTATCCACCAGCGTGTATCTTGAGAAGTCGCTGCGAGCGACGCGAGGCATGCGTGCGCCCGCGATTAGCGTTCCGTGAATCGGAATTTAACTAGAGAATCAAGGAAACGAGGAAGGGAAGCGTTTCCTCAGACCTTTCTTCCTGCCGTGTATCTATCCGTGTCGCCTTGAGTGCCTCGTCGGTCATCGAGCATGCGATCAGCTTGAAGTGCAATATTTTTAGGTCAGAGGGATCGAAGGATCCGAAAAGTTAAGGGAAGATTTTGAGATGAAAAACTGCGCGTATTTTTATGATAAATAACATAGATGCGGAAAAATTGGCAATATAAATTTCTGTAATAACTGAGAAATAACAAATCTGCTTACCAAAACAGCTTTTGTCTGAAAAGGGGGGGGGGAGGGGCAAGAGGTTTTTATGGTCAAATTGAAGATGAGATTTACGATTTATTTCAACAAAAGGAATAAATGGACACAGTTCAGGTATTATTTTACTACTATATTTGAGATGCAAAAAATTAATTTGTAATAAATTTATTAGAAATATTAGAAAGTTTTCTGGCATTAAAGATGGGCCGAATATTTCAGTTTTGTCATGATTCTATGACTTATAGAAGTGAACCTGAACTACGTTCATTTATTTCTTTTCTTGAAATATATTCACAAATTTAACTATAAATAAATTTAATAAATTTTATTTAATTTAACTATCAAATTCTTTCTTTAAAAAATGTGAACTTGGTTTATAAAATTATTGTAACTTATTGCACCTTGTAAGTTTCTAAATAACTTTTAACTAATTTAGACTAATTAGATTTGTATTTCTATCAAGTCGAGTAGCTTATTTTCCCTTCCTGATTATAATGATACCAAGTAGGTCAATATTGATAATCTTGTTTTTACGTTCTGTTGCTTCAAGAGTTTTCATTAAACTGACACTATATTAAGAAAGAAAATGCTTGGATGAATAAAATAAATATTAAGTCGTGAACTGAACAAATTGCATAATTAAACTGTTTGCTTAATAATGTTAATTATTATTGCGTCGACAGAATTTACTATTGCATTAATATTGTAACTTGTAACCTATTTAATTTTACATTAATATTATAATTAATTAATTTTACATTGGTTCAAATAATGGCAGTTTTATACGTTGAAGCAGTCTTTTTCCTAGTGCGTATCAACGATCGTGATCTTTCACATTATATCAAGAAATTATCTCGCCAGAAAGCATTTTCTATATAAAACGCAATTTTTATGCAGCGAGATCCATCATTAAGATATCCAGAAGCACGTGCCTCATTACAATTTACAGCACGATACTATCAAATATAAGACATGCAAGAAACATCAATACCAGATTTTTTTATTAAATTTAAGAAGGAAATTTTTATGAAATAATATAAAATTTTTGATTATTTATTTATTCCATATTTATAAAAGTAAACTCTTTAATGTAATTAATAAAAAGTAAACTCTTAAATTTTATGTATAAAACATAAAATCCGAACATGTAAAGAGAATAAAGTGATAAAAAGAAGATGTATAACAACTGTATTGAATGCATTTGTATTATATACAACTATATAACTATTTACAGATCAACAAAGACAAATCTTTTCGTAAACCGCTAACATTCACTTATTTTACTCATCCAACTGGATAATCTCTTTGTTTTTCACTTGATTTAAAGTAAATCTCTCTTTAACGAAAGTTTATATTTAATTACAACAACAGAATACAATGTTGTATTCAATACAAACACTTTTGTATTGAATTACAACAAAAATGAAGATCTTTTCAAATCAAACTTTATGAACTAGAAACTAGATAATCTCTTTGTTTTTCACTCGATTTGAATTAAATCGTATTTTAATGATTAAAAGATTATATCTAGTAGGGATCAAGAAAAATAAAGATCTTTTTGCATTAAACTTTACGAATAAAACTAAATAATCTCTTGGTTTTACACTTGATTCGAAATAAAACTTATTTTAAGAGTTTTGTTTTAGGAAAATAATGTGATTTATTTAATATCGGCAATTAAAAAGTGACGAAAGCAATAATGATGTTCCGCAAGAATTGTGTGAACAGGGAATTTCAATGTTTTGTCACGATTGATCGCGAATTATTCAAACGAGTGAAGAAAGACTAATATACTGACATGACAAAACTGCTTTCTGATTTCAGTACGGACAGCGGCTGGGACAACCCGTTCAGGCCGGACGGCGATCTCTCCCGGGAAGCCGACGAGATCGTCGAGCTGATAAAGGGTGGGAAGCCGATCACGCCGACCCCAGGTCAGAACGCGCCGCCTCTGCCGGGATGCGACGGCAAGTCCGACTCGAGTCCGCTCCTCAAATCCGGGAATTGTCACTCATCGCCGAGACCCGGCCAGGAGAATGGCAGCGCACGTAGTGGCACTCCTTCAAAGGCCGGCCAGCCTGTCAATGAAAAGGTGAGGTCGACGCGAAGCATCGATCACTGTCCGATACATAACTTAATATTTGCTTCTGCACAATTGAAAAAAAAAATTTGTGTTAAATTTGACACGTTTTACGCGTTCCAAACGTCCCACCTTTGTTAGTTTGCCGCAAGATAAATGTGTTAGAAAGTAACGCAAATATTATGTAAAAATTAATACAATATGTATAACACTTTGACACTTTGGTTTGAAAACAAATTGTGGAAGCATATTTCTTTAGTAGAATTAACTTTTATAGTATATACAGTTTATTTATTTAATTTAGATTTTACGTTTTAAAAAACATTCTTTTCATTTTATTTATTCACGTATCTATAAATTATGTTACTTTAACACTAAGAAATGTTAAGTATTTTATTAATTTAACATTAATTTAAAATGTTCAAATTTAAAATCACATTATGTTAAATTAACACTCGGGGAATTTTATATTAAAAAGTCAACATAAAATTTTAACAAGGATTTGAACGGATCGTTTTTAACACAAGTACAAAATATCTTTACTGTTCAACGTTAATTTGTCAATTTGATTGCATAGCATTTGTATTTAAGATTTGACGATCTGCCGAATTAAACTTGAACATTACACTGTTAGAAGATTTGTGTTATAAACTTATAACACATTTCACATGTCTCAAATGGTCCACTTAAATTTTTGTGTTAATTTAACATAAAATGAATATGTTAGAAAGTAACACAAATATTATATTAAAAAATTAACACAAAAAATGTAACACTGACACAATTTGTAAACAAACTGTGGTGCATATTTTTTCAATAAAATTAACATTTATGTTAAATTAATACACACTTCATGTTAGAATTTATGTTTTAAAACACATTATTTTTGTTATTTGTTCACTTACTCATAAATTGTGTAATTTTGACACTAAGAAATGTTGAATATCAATTCAACACAAAATATTTAAATAACACATTATATTACATTAACTCTCGAATATGTTAAAAATGTCAACACAAAATTTTAACAAGTGAATGGACTGTTTCTAATATAAATACAAAATGTTTTTTACTGTGTATTAAGAGCATTATTAGAGAAATCAGGACGAAAATATAAAACAAGTTTATCAGTTTTATAACGTTTGTAATTGATGAAATGTGTCTGGTACAGGTCGGCGCGTCCCGGACCGCGACGGTGGAGGTCGCGAGAATGACGGCGCAGGGCCCGGGCGACGCGTCACAAGTCGAGCACGTCACCCTGAAGAAAAAGCCTAAGTGCAAGTGCTGCGTGCTGCAGTAATGACCGCGCGACGGGGGCGGCGAGGACGCGCACGAGAGACGGGCCCTCCTTCATTATCCAGCAGCGTGACTTCAGCGCTTCGTGGCTACCGAAGAAGTCACCGGCTCGCCCGGGCGGCATCGAGGCATCGAGGACGCATCGATGAAGAAGCGGCTCGAAAAGGATGCCGGGAGACACAGGGAAACCGCCGGCATTCCAAGCACGCGCTCGCAGGACCTGACGAACGGGTCCAGAAGATGACTTCTCGGAGAGAGAGAGAGAGAAGGAGAAAAAAGTTTCGTCTTTGGAGAAACGTAGAGCGATATATTTGAAACGAAGCGAATATACGATTTGGGTCAGATTGTTGGGAATCTCTAAAAAATGAAAGTCGAACGAGATGTCAAAGAAGCTTCGTGTCTTTTAATCACGAAGAAATTTATAAAAGGAAACAAGAAGCAATTATTTCGATAGAAACGTAAGGAGGGCTAGCTTTCGATCGAAATTTGAGGCAAGAAGCTGTCGATTCTTATTAAGGAGATTGGAATCTCTTAAAAAAATGTTCCGGGGGAACATAGAGATTGAAGCTAATTCTTGCCGTGGAAGATTGAACTCTCGCCAGACTATTCCCCGGGCTTTCAAGCGCGGGAAAGAGGAGCGTCCAACGCGGAGGACGAAACGAGGAATGTCAGTGCGCGAACGTTAAACCGCTTTTTCGAGACAGTGATATTTTAATGATGTCGCGAGAGCTAGGAAAGAAAATGGACGAAGTAAAAGAGAGGAAAAGAAATATATATATATACATATATATATATATTATACATACAAAACTATATTGTAGATACAGAATGGTAGCTGTATAGCTTATATGCTTTTACTATCGTGGTTAATTATCGTCAGGATTATCGTGATTTCAAGAATGCATCGTGCGCGTAGAGCGAGAAAGGGAAAAAAAGAGTGCGTGAGAGAAAGCGTGAGTGTGAGCGAGAGAGAAACGTAGGGATGATGATGAATGATATGACTATATTAGGGGAAAAGAGTGTGCGCGACGAGGCATGTAAAGTTCCACGGGGACGTGATTCGTCCGTTAGATCTCGACGCGAGCAGGATACATCGCCGTTTCTGAGGAAGCTAACTCAGCAGCTTTGATTCAATCTTTCTTTAATGCACTGCGAAGGATATTCGACGCATCAAACATCGCTGTATATAGAGGAAGAGAGAGAGAGAGAAAGAGTGTGTGTGTGCGCCAGATATACCGCGTGCTCTATCGCGTCTACGAATTTCTCGAGCGGTTTGGAGAATCGATTTCAATCATTTTGCTAACAGCGCTTTATTTTTAATCGCTTATAATTAAGAAATTAGCCGTCATACCGTCTGTGGTCAAGAGAGAGAGAGAGAGCACGCGGTTTTTTTTGTACATTCTATGTAGGCGTTTATTTTATTAAACGCATCAAAGAGAGTTTCGTAGGTAAAATTCCTCTTTTCTACCTCTTTTATCTATCATTTTAGACACAATTCTATTGAGAAATCATTTCTATTGTTACTTTCCTTGTTTCACTTTTCGAACAGTCATGCGTTAGAATTTTTACAGTAAGACCTTCATATTCGTGAAGGTTAATAATAATGATAGGATGGGGATCGGACATCCTTCTCTCGTGATAAAAAAAAACAGGCATAACAAGGCATAAGTGGATGACCCAACAGGAAATGGTCTCAAATGCTGAAAAGCAATATAGCTAATAATAATTGATTAGCAGAAGGCACTCGCTACAATCTACATTGGTTGCGTTCCGAAAACAAAACGTTCGAACGATCGAACTGTTCCAAAATATGTTTGATCGATAGACGTATAAATATTTAGAATTGTTAATCAATAATTATTAATAAGCTATTATGTTTTGACGTGTGATCAATGAGAAGATTTCCGTAAAACTAACAGATACAGTAATGCTAATCATAATAGATGTTATAAGTGGAATGTCCCTTCAAATTCATCAATGCTTGTGTGTCGCGATAGATTTTATCTCATACATTTGATCACATTTATATATTTATTTCGTTCGTGTCATCGACATATGACATAACAAGCTCCTTCTTTGATTGATATTTTTCGAAATCTTTGATGCTGATTTCGCAACTAACATCCAATGCTAAGGCAGCTATCTTTATACTTGATAGTTCCTGTAATTTTACCTACGGAACTCCAAAGAGAGAGGATTATTTTTCGCGCGGGTGTAAATAGCGCTTTAATGCTATTGCTCCTACGAGGCTCGAGTCCTGAGAACTTTCGTGCATGTCTGTTTTAAAACGTTATCGGATCAATTGTTGGTTGCCCTCGAGGATCGATAAGTCCGCCCTTCAGTTTTGTCCGCCACAACGCGAAATTGATCCCGAATCCTTATTTTTATAACGATCGATATGCATGTTAGATTTTTTTTCATCGTAACGGAATTATGCGAAGCATTCGACTTGATTGCAGTCTTTTTAGCCGAAAATTGTAAGAGGGGAAAAAGGGAGAGAAAGTTATTCTTCTCTCTCCTGCGATCAATTATGGTGAATAGAATCGCGCCTTTTTGAACATGCCGAGGATTCATTGGCTCGTCATGTTTGACCGAGTACCTAAGTGCATTTCGTTAATTATTATCATGAGCGCCGCCAGAATTTTTCATAGAGGCACGCAGATCGTTTGCTACTTCTTAAAATATAAAATCTTTTTGTCAGAATTATATATAAATATATATATTCACAGAAGTACGTGTTATTATTTGAACTGAAAGGAATTATAGTTTCTTTCGTGGTTTTGTAGCATTAAAGGCATCAATTCTAAAATTTTTAACTAAAAAAATTTTAAATTTAAGTTAAAAAATTGAAACATTTGTTTTTAAATTAAAAAAAAAGAAGGTGGTTCTTTAGTAAATCGAATTATTTTAGAAATGTTCAGTTTTTTTATATAATAAATAACGAAGCTGAAATACCGAACTTGACGTGTGCAAAATTCTAGGGTAGGTTATCGATGAAATAAGAGAGAAAAGAAATGTTGAAAATGTTACTTTTCACGTATAACTTAGTGATAGGTTGGGCTCGGAAGACTCTTTTGACTAACTGCACATAAACGTTATTTAAGACTTTTTAAAAAAAAACAAGACTATTTTAAAAAACGAGACATAAAAAAGACACAAGAGATAAAAAACAAGATTATAATAATTTAAAAAAACGATTTTAATGGTCACAAAAAAGTAATAGATCATCGGCCATTCTGGAAAGATATTTAACATTTAAATTGCAAAATATCGCATAACCTCGCTAACAACCTACATTGTATTTCATTTTCCTATCCTCGTGCATTGTCGTGCGAGATAGCAATTAATATCGTCTGTGTTATACTATTTCATTAGATATACACGTAGTTTTAATATATATTATCCAAATTATTCAAATATGTGTGATTTTGGGTGGGCCTGATGAGGCATCTAAAATTTTCGGCACTTTACTAAAGACCACCTGCGAAATATTATCTCATCCTGGCTATGATTGCGTTGTAAGCCCGACAGTAATTCGGCACGCAGTTTAAACAGTTGAAAAATGGATTTACAATTCACATAGAAATATTATTTGGCACCAAGATCCAGCTTCCCTACCGCGGAAGCCTCTTTTCTAATTCTTTTTTAATTATGTTATTCACTTACGCGTTCAACTTATTATTATTACAAATAATTTTCTTTCTGTTTTTCACCTTTCTTCGGGAATTTGAAAGAATGTGTCTCCCTGCATTTTTCTCACGATGCTCATGATTTTTATGTACCTGCGTTAATGAGTTCCGCGTTCGGTTGGAGCGAACTGGGATGAAACAATTCATTAAAATCTCACGATCACGTCGAGAGTCTTACAAATAATTAAATTTAAATTTATAACATTCTAGAAACACGATAAAAATAAGTTCCAAATTAGTTACAGAATCGTTCATTAAAATATGTATAATTCGACCGAGATATTTTACCATCTTGCTCCAATCAACGGCGAAGCAGAAGCGCGCGAGATGCCGGATAGAAAAGGAAACCGGAATTATTTGAACGGTGTCGAAGATACTATTTTCCTAATTAACGAGCCGCTCGAGGAGGGAAACCCGGCACCCCGCCGCTTCCGCGGTGGCGATTTTTAATGGACGAAAACAATTTATTGTGCGAACTAGTCGAAGGTATATCGGGAGATGTTAACTCTTCGTGGCGGCGATCATAAAACGTCTTTTTGTATTATAATTGTTTTAAAGTTCTAGTTGCGTATATACCCTACGGGGTAATTACGAGAGAGAGAGAGAGAGAGAGAGAGAGAGAGAGAGAGAGAGAAGAGAGAGAGACAGTATTGCATGCAAAGTGCAATGTTAAAGCTCGAAATCCATTTAATTTTAAATTGTAAAATACGCCCCTTTCTCCAAACGATATTAATAACACTAGTCTGCGATGAATTCATTACGTCGGATATTTTAAGATATTGACATCACTCTAAATAAAAAATCGCAAGATCAGGAAATTCATATTACGTATCGTTTTAATCGTTTCATTTTTTTATATTGAACTATGAGCGAATTCTGTTGGACGCATTAATACACTGATGTGTGTTGAAGTTTTATAATTTTAATATCTCGAGAAAGTTAACTAATATAATTAAAATTTGGATTCTTAATATTTTATTATAAATATAAGCAATTTTGCTACGATAGATCTTAAAATAAATATATAAGGATCATAAATATTTTTTACAATAAATTTCTCTTAAGAACCAAAAGTTCTAACAACATATTTAATTTTGATTGCAATAAAACTTCTATACAACACGTCACATATCGTAGTTATATACATACATATATTAAAGTATACTAAAATAACACTTTTTTGCAAATTTAATCGCAAAGGAACAGAATTAATAAGGTTGTTTTTTGTCTTCTCTCGGATTTAGCTTATATTGATTCTTTAGATGGATCCTGGGATTTTCCTAGAACCGTTTTGTATATAATAATAAATAGTTCTTTTTAAACATATGTTTTGAAAATCGATTTTTACGTGTATTTTAAGACACATCTTAAATCACATGTTACCTTTGATTCAGGCAATGATTTCAAGGTTCAATTCGCAGACTAGTGTAATTCGTGTCAATCGTGTCGAATGGTATCGACAGTTTGATTTTAAATCCCGTTAGAAGATAATGACGAGCGTAAAGAAAAATGCAACCGAGGTATATCTTTACTTTTCTTATTCTTTTATCTCTGACAAATCATGTCCCTCCTCCCCCCCCCCCTCTTTTGCAAAACTTGCGTTAAATCCTCGAGAGGATCCGCAAGGGCTTTGACCGGATCCGGAGATATTCAATATTTCGCGTGCCGCGAAGAGCCGATCGAGCGCGCAGTTTGCGCGTCGCAGTGCAAACGAGAGGAAATCTGTAACGCGCATACTTACACACGAGAACCTCTTAACGTCTGTTCCCACGCAAAATGTTGACTCTGCTGAGCTTACAGATATTAAACGAATATTAAATGTCTTGTTAAAAAAAAAAAAAAGAAGTGACTTGTATGAAATATGTATTGGCCGTCTAATACAAGGCCTACGAAGATAAATTCGGAATATGAAGCTGATGTTAAGCATGACGATTAAAACTGAAGTCCAAAATTCGTGAACGAAAGAATGTAACTCCACAAGCTTCGCTCAGAGCTGCGTTTCAAAACTTACTTGGATAACCAAAACTATAGTTAACATGACGTAAACTATAGAGTTTTGGTTATTTGAGTAAGTTTTGGAACAGCCCAGCAAACAATTTGAATGAAAATTAATTTATAAATTTGCATTTTTGGTTTTCGTTGCTCTCTAATAGGCATTCCTTTTCGAATCTGTTCTCGTAGGCCAACAACACCTGACGAAATGCCCGTCCCATCTCTTCATTCTCTTGATATCCTATACAGAAATCTAGAAAACGCAAAATAATAAATTATGAATTTGAGATGAAATTTAAACTCAATAAAAGATAAACGAGTCATAAAAAGAAGCAACCGTTACGCCGCTATTAATTACTAAATCGCAGCATGCCGATTGTCGTATCTGCATTGCATAAGACAAATTATTTATTACGTACACGAAATGACCGATCAATTTAAATTACCTCTCTGATATCATCTGTCAGAATTGCGACGACTTGATAATAATTAACGGCCACTCTCGCCTGTAAATATGACGCGTTGGTGAATCACTTTCTATACCAAATAGTATAATTCTCTTCAGAAGAAATTTTTATATTTGGCCAAGAAATCGTAAATCAGAATTCTTCGTGTACGAATTTGGCATTCGAAATTCGAGCTCTGTGGCACGCCAGCGAAAAGTATACGTTTCGATATTAGCAATTATGTCTTGTTGATATGATGTGATTATTAAAAAAAAAAATGGTTTTTCCGCCACGCATCCAATTTTCATTGCATACATAAGTAATTTGAGTTAAATCAACGAAGGGTATAATTGCGAATCGAATAGCGTGACGTGAAAATTAACGATTAAGACTAAACGACGCATATTTGTCATGCTCCGCCGCTTTTCTCGCGTCGACGTGGCCGACGCATTTATTATCGCGGCTTGCAATCCTTTCGCCGAGGCGATCCAAGGAGGCGAATATCCAGGTGACGAAATCGTTAACTCAGCCGATGACGTGATTATGTTAATCGATATCGCAGGCGCGCAAGCGGGGTGGCGATACGCGATCCTTACGTGATCCCAGGCTCGTCCCAGATTTGCAACGGGGATGCGTTTCACCGCGGACATTAACCAGCTCGATACTTGGCGTCTCGCCAATGATTGATTCGCCAGAGCGCAATGACCTCCTCCAGATTTTCCATCAGTGAGTTTCCACGCGATACAGGCTCGTCTAGGAAAAAACGCCGGCTCTCCGATGTTTTCCTCGTTATTTATATTATACTTTCTAAAATTTAAATCGATTCTCTATTGTTGTTATTAAACAACAATAGGACGAATATTAATTTCGTGCCCTTTAACACTTCGACTGTACCTCACTTTTGGGTGAGAATCCTGGCGAAAGAAAATTCCCATAATATTTTATCATATTTTTAAGAATTTGTCTTATTTTCAAACATTTTTGAAAAAATATTACTTTTTCACATTTTATAGTTTTCTTTAGAAACTATAAAATGAGTGTTGTGTAAGGATAATTGAGAACAGTATTTATGGTTAAATATTCAATTTAATTCTGATACATATAAGTCAAAGTTCGGAGCACAACTGTCCTCGCTCGCGTGCAAAGATCGACAGACAATTCACGCATTCGTCGCCCGCGGGGAAATTAAGACGCTCGCAAATACCGGAAATCTCGTATCGATAAACGGCGATTATTTAAAATTAACCACTCGCATAACAATGAGAAAAATCTTAAAATATTTTAGAATATATTTCATATATAAAAAATTCTACAAAAAATGTAAACCTCAGTGCTTCTGAAAAAGTGTTCCAATTTGAATAAAAAAATCTGAGAAATGTTTTTAAAGAAGTTATAAAATTATACAAAACTTCCAAAAAAATTCTGAAATTTACATAAAAATTCTGAAAAACTATGAAGAAGTATAAGAAAAATATTTCACTACTATGAGATTAGCTTTAACAAGATTCTTATCATCCACAAATGGATATGTATAATGGTTTTATTTTCTCAATAAAAAGTGATATATAAAAACATTGATTAAAAACAACAAAAAAATATTATTTATATATGCATTTGTTGCGGTAAAAAAGATAGATCTATTCTAACAATCGACAATACATATGTTTGACACTGCATACTTTACGATTGCGCACTTTTCTGCATGTTTAAAATTAGCTTGACAGTCCAAGTATGTTAATTAAATTATCGCTGTAACATCGTCGTATCGTCGTACTTAGGCAACTATAGTTGGGTAACTGCAAGGAGCTGTTAACACAGCGTCGTTCCTTTTTTTCCATATTTCGAACTTTTAGTCGTCTCTATTCTGGGATAACAACCGTGAAAATCGTCACTCCGTCGCGCTACTTAATTATCGTTAAATGAATGTCGTCGCGGTTTATTGCCGTTATCGGTTTTAGCGGGGAGTCGGCTGTCTATTTAGGATCGATAACGCGAAAGTATGTCAACTATAATCGCGGTCTCGCGCGCGGCCCTCACGTCGCGCGCGCGCGCGCGCGTGCCCCAGTGCACGCCGCGTTGTTCGTTCATTCACGATCCCCTCGATCATTCTCGACGATGCACTCGAGGCACCGTTAACGACGGTTAAAAATAACAACGAGCGAACGCGGCGGTTATCAGACCACACGAGGAGCTCACGGATGCCAGACTGCCAAAGTAGCCGCTGAGATCTGCATGCACGCACAAACGATTTCTAAATAAAGAAATTATTTTATTTATTCGTTTCTTCGAATTATCGGCCGCGTGATTTCTAATTTAGACTAAATAATAAAAGTCGTTGTTGTTCTCGTCGAACAATATTTTACACGATAACATTATTTTTTCAAAAAAGGGAATTTTATAATGACATCATCATCAGATGCTACGATTTTGATAGATTTCATTCTCTAAGCTATATAAAGTTTGTTAAATTAATTATAAATAAATAATTACTAAATAAATAATAAATTATTAATAATAGAACGCTATACAAGAACAAGATGAGACGCTAATACGATTTCATAAGTTTCCATTCTTCAAGTTGTATAAATTTATTGATAAATTAATAAATAATGGAACGCTATGATATCATAAGGAGACGCTGCAATTTTGATAGTTTTATTCTCCAACTTATATAAATTTATTGAATTAATAAAAAATTATTAACTTATTATATAAAATATATATTTATTATATAAAATTATCTATTATATAAAATTACAATAAATTACGTTATATAATATGGAGAATTAAAACCTATTAGAACCTATACTTTCATTATGCAAGAGATTTTTATAGAAATAACGAGATAGATAAGATCTTAAGTGCTTATTGTCACTTTAGTTTAGCTTTAACCCAAGTTGTCTATTTTAGTGATCAGAGTTTGACGCATAAAATGACAGAAATTACATCGTCGCATTGCGATGTAATACAATCAAACCTCGTTATGTCATATCATAGGTTTGATTATATTTGTTGCATTGATATTAATTTTGTCATGTTATTAATAATACAATATAATTAAAAATAATTTATTAATAATACAATATAATAAAAATAATTTATTGATAACACAATGTAATTAAAAATAATTTATTATTAATAATACAATATAAATTAAAAATAATTTGTTATTAATAATACAATATAATTCAAAAAATAATTTACTATCGTTCTTCATTACTACATTTAGAAATGTTGGGCAGATGCATTCTGGTTCTAATCCCCGCATACAGTCACGTACATACGTTCGGAACATTGGCATTTGAGGCACACGTCGTGGGAAGGAAGACACAAAGTTATGAAATCATAATAAATCGATGATTGAATGCGAAATGG